AATTCTTGGTATCAGACAGGCTAATTCCTAGCCAAGTTCGATAACATTATCTATATTTGAGTCAAAAAGCGCTAGAGCTTTGAATTTGATATTGGAAATCATATAGCAAACTGGGTTCGTAGGCGAAGTTGGAGGCATATTTTGAAATCTGCACCAGAACCCCCAAAATTGCCTATATGTTATATATTTGATCTTCACGTGAATAATTAAGTTTTGGAGAATCAGACTCAATCAGACATTTCGGAAATTTTTTGTTAAGGTATAACTAATATCACCTAGATTTCAGATTCAGATTAGGCGTAATTATCAGGTTTCACCCAAACCTTTATTTTATACACATGAAAGCTAAGCTATTAAAAGTAGGTTACAAGTCTAGTAAATTGATTTTGAGTGATTGATGATCAAAAAAAATATTATGTCACAATAAACATAACTAGTCAATAAAAAATTGCATTAAAAATATATTGAGTTGAATCAATTAATAAAATAATACAATAATTTTATATATATAACATTTTATTATAATAATTATTTTTATAAATATTAAATTATTTTAAAAATAAGATAACTATAAAATATCTAAATTTTGCTATTAAATTTGTCTTGCAAAAATATTGTTATATCAATGTCGTAACACTTAAAATTTTGCTATTAAAAACCATACTTCTACACACAGAAATTTAAGCATTTTTGCAGCCTAATTGCTTGCTTTATTATTAAGCTAATATCCTTTAAAAATCAAGTTCATTTAATATGAATCAAAAATCTCATTTTTTGTTATAAGGTTCCTGTAACCCATTTTTAATAACACAGCTCCCATATATTATTATATTTGTCTCTTTCTATTTATATGAATAACAATCTGATTTCTTCTAAAATATTTTAGTTTTATAAAGTAAATTACACTGATGAATACTTACAAATTCTATTTATAAATTCTATTTTGCAGTTATTTCTGATTAGCAGGTTTTTTCTAATTATGCATAGAATTAGTCAATCTAAGTCCAAAATTATTTACTTCATCTTGTCAAACGTGTCATTAATTAGAGGTCGCAATTTTTTTTAGTATTTTTTATTAAATATTTAATTTAAATGTTATTGATTCAAATCTTTGCTAGTTGATTTAAATAAGCATGGTTAGAAAATATTTATGTACAAATACTTATTTATACTACATTATATATTAAATATTATCAATGTACAAAATATATTTATTTTTTATACTAACAATGTACCTTTTTAACATGGGTGTAATAAGAGCAGTTTGATAAGAACATTATAATTACCTTGATTAAAATCTAAGGTTAGTTTTAAATTTTTACATAATTTAGCATAATATAATTGATTTCCATTCTTTAAAATCCAAATTAAGGGAATATAAATTTAACCTAATTAACGTTATAATTAGAAGCTTCAATTTTTTATGAAAAGGTAATTTATTTTCGTTGACTTTACAAAATTACTTTAAAGGAAGCGGATGATTTTTTAGTTTAAATAATTTTGAAACATATCCCTAAACGAATGGTATATAATAATTAACTTAAAAATTAACTTCTTTTCTTTCAAAACGAAAAATCTCGATCGAATGCGTAGCATCATCAAAATTTTCTATAGGTCATAGATCAAATATTATTAATATTATAAGATACCGATATTTGAATTATTAATTGTAATTCTTATAAAGAGTTCAAGTTAATGCTGCTTGACATTACATGACATGTACTAAATGTGGCAACTTCGCTAGAAAATATCAATAATTCAACTATTCAGGTTTAAAAATTGTGATTGAAATAATCAATTTTATTTATGTCATCATTAAGTCTTTTTATTAAGGAAGATAATAAATTTGAATAACCAAAATTATTTGAAATGATTTTTGCTTTATGAAGTAACCAAGCGAGGGAAAAAAATATATTTTAACTCTATTTTTTAAAATATTTTTTTCGTACAAGAATGTGAATTTGTGTAAAATTTACAAACTTTTTATTATAAATATAATGATAATATCGTAAAGAATAAAAAATTCATTATTTATTTGTAAATTACAGATTGGAAATGTAACCTTAATTTTACTCCACTCACAGTTATAAAGTTCGTTAATATGAAATAAAAATAAAATTTACGAGTATTGTTATATTTTCATACATTAATATTCAATAAACAAAAGATCCGTACATACTTTAATTTCGTTATATAACTTACCTCGAGGCATGAGTCTTAATCCCTAACCTAGATGCTAAATTATTTTTATTATAGAGGTATTTTCAAAATATACGCCTCTTTTCAGTACATATGTTGAGAACTTGCTGGAATATGAATCAATACCAACAAATTCTTCAACGCTTGCATTGTATTCTAAATAGGCGACTGATGATCAGAATCTTTATAATAAAAATAGAAATATAAAAATATAAAAATATTTAAATTTTATCCAAAATAAATTTATGTAAATGAAAAAGTGTAGATAAAGTGTTTTAAGAAAAAAAAATTTGATTTCACGATCGAGTGGCGCAGTTGGGTTACGGTCATGACTGGTCATAACCATGACCGATTTTGACCGATAAACATTTTTTAACAATCATTTTAGTAATGTTATTTTTTATAATTATAAATAATTTGTTTTGAAAAAAAAGATCGCATCACTAAATATGAAAGTAAACTTAAATTAAATAGTAAGTTTTAGCAAAATTATATTATTGTTAAATGGGCCGGTCAACCAATCAGCAAAACCGGTCGATCAACCGAGTCAATACATGATTGGCCTAATATATGAAATTTAAATCTGATCGGTCGGTCAAAGGACTGTTAACTTACCATCCGCATCACGTGATCAAAAACATCATCGTTGTTATACTCTAAAATTTTATAGTCCTCCTTCGCTTCGCTCCGGACAATAATAGTGCTGTAAGTGGATGCATGAGCCCCGGATACTTATCAACGAATTATGTTTTTAGACAATGACTTTTTTTTTTTTTTTGTCATACATAAGATTAAAAAACGATAAATAAATAAATTTATTTTTTTTAAAAAAAAAAAATATTTCGCTTTTACATTTTAGAAAATCATCATTAGATTTATATAATTGTGTGGCGAGTGTGAGTTTAATTTAAAACCAATAAATGAAAAAAATATATATATTTAATATTTATCACATTTGAATTTAATGTTTCAATTTTCTAAAATTTCACAAATAACTTTCTTTTATTGCCTAGATATATTAATAAATTACATTATTTCTTTTTTAACATTATAGTTTTTTTATAAATATAAAATAAAATTTCAAATTTGGAAAATTATAAACTAAAATCTTTAGACAATTTAAATTGTAGTTTTTTTTAATTATTTAAGTACATTATCAATAGTACACCCCCCTTTCATCGATATAAAATTCGATTAGCTTCATTACATAATGACCACGCAAATGACTTGAATACTTATAATCACAAGTTTGTTGAATATATGCTTCTATGTATAAAAAAGTTTTTAGTAATTTGTAAAAATAGATATATATATAATTGAACTATTGAATTATTAAATAAAATGAATCAAATACCGCATAACACTTATTAAATTCTATAATTTCCAATAACATTTAAAAAATTAAGAAGGCACAAGTTAAGAGCAATCAAATTTCTTACACTCAAATAACTAACTTACCAACTTTACATAACTCTTGTATAACTTTTTTCTGAGAAAATACTCAAATAACTAGCTTACAAACCTTATCAGTTATAAAATAGCTAGGTAAAGTTGATAAGCTAGTTATTTATGTACTAACGCAGTCAAGACTTGTACAAGATTTATGTAAATTTGTTAAATTAGTTATTTGAGTATAGGAATAATGAACAGGTTAGGTAAAGAAGTTAGTTATTGGAGTCAAGGGATTTCAAGGAGCTAGGTAAAGTCAAGGTAGTTCGAGTGTTTTTAAGGAATTTGGTAATTATTGGATTCACAAGACAAAAGAGATGAAGGTGGGTAAATTTGTTGTTGGATTATATTTTAAGTAAAAATGGTAAGTGATCGAAGTTGTAAAGGAGTTTGTTAATCTAATTATTGGAATCCAGGAATAAAAAGATCCATCACGGAATTTGTTAGCTAGTTATTTGAGTAGATTCTTAAGTAAATTTGGTAAGCTAGTTAAGTTATTTGAATATTGAAGCACTCGAGAGGTGTGGAGTTGGAGACGAGTAATTAAAAAGTCGGTAAAGTTGGTAATCTAATTTAATTAGAGCAATTGAAGAATTATTAGATTATTAGAGATTATGAGAAAATGAAATATATCATGGAGACAGCTAGTTATTTTGTATCGTCGGAATAAAGTTGATAATGAGTCAGGTAAAGTTGGCAAGCTAGTTATTGAAATCCAGGAGAAATCGGGAGTTATAAAGGAGATGGGTAAAATTGTTAAGCTAGTTATTTTAGTATTGAAGCACTCGAGAATTTTAAGGAGCCGGGTAATGTTCGGTAAGCTAGTTATTGTATTGAGTATAATTAATTAACAAGAGATGAGTTAGGTACTAAATTAATTACTCGAGTATTATTGTAGAATCAAGAGTTGATAAGCTAGATCTTCTAATTCAAAATAAAATAGTTAAGCCGTTAAAGAATAATATTTTAATATTTTCTTCTTGCTTACCAATAGTTACATTAGACACTTTATCTTGTTCTTTTAATAAAATTTGTTGATGTAGTTTGGATTTTGCTGCTACTATTCGTCCTTTAATCACTTCCTCTAGATTTATTGCTTGGCCTTCGCTTTCTAATACTCCACTAAAATGTTAATAATTTCTTGTAAATGGTTGAATTGAGTAATTAACGTAAATGATACACATGCTGTTGATAATATCTAAATGCCATAATATCTTAATATATCCGAAATCCTTACCATCTATTTTAAACAACACAACTGATTTTTTTTTCAGCTTTCTTTTTTATTCTCTTAATACTTTGGGTTTATTTTTTTGTAATTAACGATCGAGATGTGATTTCTATCCTTTAATCATTAACTCGAAACCTTATATTTAGAATTTAAACATTTTTAGTTCTGAAAGTTCTGGTAAAAAGACAGTCGACGAATTTTACAGTAATTTTTTTTTTTTTTTTTTTTTTTAAAAAAAAAAATTATTCAGCCCTCGATTATCATTTCTTTTTAAATATTAGTTTTTTATTAATAATGTGTCCGACGATCTGCCGGTTACGTAATTTCGATTACGTAATAAATGTAATAAAATTAAATGTCCCGAATAAAGTAATTTTCATAATTTTAGTGGGTTTGATCAGCGATTTATATTTTAAATCAATTACACTACGTGGAAATTTACGAACCTATAAATAGTCATTAATTCCTTTATCTAAGTTCATAAGATAAAGCCAATGCAAGTATAAACGAAATGGAATATTGTATTTTTCCAATGGGATAGATTTCAAAAATGTACGAATAGGATTACAAGATATACATTCTACGACACAATATTATACAGAACCTTGCATAATTATTCAAGTCGTGTTCGTCGAGAATATATCTTATTTATATATACGATTAAATCTTCTTTCTTTAATATCTCTCTTTAGAGAAATATTTTGAACTGGCATAACTTTATGAAGACTGCGCCAAATCACGTGAAATGATAATTGATTTATTAAAAAAATTTAATAGGAATACGTTCCACATTTTTCTCAATTACAAGCTTAAATCTCTCCTTCATCGTGCCAACAAAAACATTTATAATGTTTTGAAGAGTTTTAATCCCAATATTTTGTGACTGCCGCATCTCAACATTCCTTTTAACAATTGCTAATAAATTTTCTAACCGTGGCTGTTGGATCCATAATGGTCGGAACTTCTCTGGCAGGAATTCCTTAGCTACACGCCTTGAATGCTTAGAATCATTATCCAACTGGGCCGCCGATTGTTCTACATCATTCTATTAATGATACTTTTTTATGATTACAACAATGACTTCCCGGTAGTAAAGACTGGTTTTTCCCCGTACACTCATGCGTTGATTCTTGTCCGGTCCTACTAACTTGACCTTGGCCCTTATAAAATTATTACTAAGGCCTCAATTTTTACAAAAATTAAAAAAAAATTCACGTGACTTTACATAATGAAAATCGTAATGGTGTTACTTTATTATAAAAAATTTAACAATACATATAAAATAAATATAAAAAAAATTTATATATAAAAAATAAAAACCGGGTGACCGTGTCAAATATAAAATTTTATGTCACGAGAATCTAAAAATTTATTTTGCCCGGCCTAATAGCTAAAAGACTTTCATCTGAAAAACTGTTCGTCTCCAGTCTTCATTCTGTATTCGGGCCCATTCAATACGTTTCTGCTTTGCAATCGCGTAAGGGGAGGGTCAGAAATTTCGTCATTAAAATTTCAAAAAATTTTTGAACCTTTAAAATGACGTCATCATTATGGCTTTGCTTGTCTGTAATCTGTGCCATTTTATGTCGATCATTATTCATTTTTAACTAAGTATTCTGGGGACTTGGAAATTTTTTTATTATGGAAATCCTAAACGTCACACATATCGTTTGACCGCCCTTATCATAGCCAAAGAAGGTTAAATACGGCAAAATCGTACTATAGGACAAATCTGCACCTTATCGACAATTTTGATTCGAATTTTCTAGAAAAGTTGCAGATTTTTTTAGGACGGCCATAATTTTTTTTTTTTGTGGGCGGTACTTTTCCAACTTAGCATGGTTATAATATATTGTGGACCTTGGTATATTTGTTTGTCGTTGTATTTCACCAGCTTCCCTAATCCCAGAATTTCACAAATTGAATGGATTGATCCTGCGCAACTAGTAATTATAGCTTTTTTTCTTTTTGCCAATTTATATAACAAAATATGCTAATAATAATGAAATATGTTAATAATATATAGGTTTATTACTGAGTAGTTATAGACAAATTGAGTCAGAAATAATGCGCAGATTAATGAATGATAATTGTATTAGAGAAACTAGTAGTTCAGTAAATATTCAAATAAATAGTTTAGATTTGTTTGATAATCAAACTGTTATTGATTCATTATTAGAAGATGACAAATATTCATCTGATGAAATAAAGTAATTTTGGTGTAATTCAAGAAATATACAGAAATCAATCATTACTGAAAATGAACCATTTTTTAGAGAAATGTTAAATCCTAAATTTGATGTGATATTATCTAAGTTGAGCTTGATTTAATGGTCAAATACTATATAGCAATATATGAAATACACAATTTCAAAACACTATTTGATGATAGATCTGAAGTTTCGATCATAAATTTGGTCAGTTTAGAATTAGTTCAAAGGTGTTTGGCTCGACCATATCATCTTGTCATATGAAAAGTTCATTTATTTTAGAAAATTTTATAACATTCAATAATCAGATTGACTGTTATACTCAGTATTTTTTTAAACATATAATTGAATTTAAAGATAAACTGACAGAACATAATTTGCCATTTATTTAGTTATATAAGCTAGTAGAAACATATAAAATTCAATATTAATTTAGTATCAATGATAATAAAAAACTTATAATATTAAACTTTGGAAAAATAAATTTTTTTCTAATGATTATGACAGTATTATTCCAGTATAATACATTTTTTATTGATTTGTATCAGTAAAATATAAAATTTCTACTCATCCAAATATCATTGAATATATAGTCATAAATCTATTAAATTGTAAATTCCATATTCGTTAACTTTATTTTGTAATATAAATATTTCATAATAAACTAAAACCAGACTGATATAATGCAGAATTATATACAATGTAACAAACAATAATCAATTTGTTATAATTTTCATATCATATTATATTTTAAAGTATAATTGAAATTTTATCGTATTGAATTATCTGAATATTTTCTGAAAGGTCATAGTATCAAAAAAATGCTAAATTATGTATAGTGTAACAAATAACAATAAATTTGTTATAATTTTTATATTGAATTATAAATTTAAGCTGAATTTTTGCCAATTCATATGACCGAATCAGCTGAATGTTTGCTGAAAGGTATTAATGTAAAAATAATATTAAATTACGTATAATATAATAAATGACTATTGATTTTTATAACTTAAACTGAATTTTTGTTGAATCATATAACCGAATTAGCTAAATGTTAATCAAAAGGTATTAGTGTTAAAATAATATAATACTAAATTATGTATAATGTAACAAATGACTATTGATTTTTGTAACTTAAACTGAATTTTTATCGAATCAAGTAGGGTAAAAATGGGGTTTCTGGGACAAAAATCCAAAAGATATCCAAAAAGATTTTTTGACCGCCCACGAACTAATTTTAGCTATATGAATCAACTATAGAATTCAATCTTCTAGCTAATTTTAACTCAATTATAGATGATGCTATCGAATTTGACTAGGAATTAACCCATTTGATACCAAGAATTACAATGTTTGATTTAACCATTCTAGCCTGATTTTAATCCCAAATAATATTTCAAAAAAATTTTACTATTCTATTTGCCTCAGGAGTGGCCATCAAAAATCAAGGAATAAAGTGACGTGATTTAAGCTAGGCCTAATATTGAAAACCCAAATTTAATAATAACTTTTATGCTATTCTGCTTGCCTCTAGAGGGGGCAATCAAAAATCAAGGAACAAAGTGACGTGATTTGAGCTAAGCCTGACCATGCAAGTCCAAAATGTATACTATATACTAAGTTTAACCTCGAAAAGGTTATATTTAGCTGTTATCTAGTTTGCAAATCAAAAGCTTAATGATTATATTCTAGTACGTTATCAATTTATCAATATACAGGAAACAATTTTAAAGCCATTTCCTTTACACAAACCTGAGACAAAAAAGTCTAATCTTTCGTATACCTATATGTAAAATTTAATCGCAAAAAAAGTCTAACCTCTCAACTAACTATATAATAAATCTATCTTTTACTAAAAGTCTAACCTCTTGAACATATATCAAACATCAGGACCTTATCCTGAAGTCTATTAACATATTGAATCATATAATAACCCCTAATGTGAAGATAACAACAACCACAAGATAACCCAGTAGGCTTACCACATCCTGATTCCATGCAAGGCTGGCGCTTTTTAGCCCTATTTTCTTATAATTTTAAAAAAAGTAATTGAATATTATATGATATGATTAATTAATTTAAATTGAACAAAAGTTTACACATATATTAGAGGTTAGACTTATTATTATAGTATCATAGTTAGAAAAGATAAAAAAAATCGTAAATGTATTTGTTGTAATAAGACTTTTGCCACATCTCAAAAACTTCGTCAGCATTACAAAAGTAATAAAAATAATTGTAAATTAATTTCTGATGATATACCAAAGCAAGCTTCAGCTCAGTCAAAATGAGAGACCTAGTGTGATTGAGCAACAAGACATTCAGGAGAAGCTAAAAGTGATTAACCAAACTCATTATCCCGAAGCTGGATCCAGTCCATCAACCCAAGCTCATAAAGAAGAGCAACCAGAAACACAATTAATACATAATGGAGTAATTAATGATTTACTTAAAGAGCTAAGCAAAGTTTCTGAAGAAGAATTACAAAACATATGTAATGAAGAAGTATTTACAGGATTTCAAACAGAAAAAAAATATGCTAGTGGAAAGCATTTTCGATCAATTTATGAAGAAAAAGATAGGACTTATTCTACAGGAGCATATTTCACAAAAATTATACAAGAAGAACCACCTGATGGTGATATAATATTCTTAGAAAGAGAGCGTGATTCTGCCAGATAACATAGCTTTCTAAAATGTATGACTGTATGGAAGGGAGTTATTCCATCATGCAAAAATCCTGCCTATGCATTCAATACAGAGCAAGATAATGAAATAGAATATGCAGATGCTCCCTATATATCTCAACTTATTGCAGAAGCATGTGAGGCAATCACAGATGTTCTTAAAGAAGAGCTTCACAAAAGAGATCAAATAAAATCAGCATTAGTCATATATGCTACATATGTATCATATACTTATAAAGGAACAGGTGATATTTCAAATCGGGCAAACTATACTACCAAATATCATCATTCATATCATAGAAGCTACTAACGTGAAATTCTTTCAGAACAATATATAAATGAGCATATAACCCAATCTGATGTAGAAATTGATCAAAAGATCGAGTATTATTTGAAAGAAGAATCAGGTAAAATCCTTCTCCAATTAGAAATGATACTTATAGAGTCATATACACTTTGTCGAGCTTTTGGAGGTTCTCACATTGATACTCCCAAAAAACTCTCCAATACAAAATATACAATTAATTCAGATAATAAAGGTCTTATTGATCCAGAGACAAAAAAGCCTTTTGAAAAATGTCTTTAAGGTGCTTTAGGTTATTATTTCACCCATCAGGATAGACATACAGATCATCTTGAACGAATCTTTCAAGCTATAAAAAATAAATATTATTTAGATGTGGTCAAGCTCGATAAAATCCCAATGCCTACTCCAATTTGTCGACGAACATTTCAAAAGATTAAGGAGATGAATCCAGATATCTCCATAAATATCTGGAAGTGGGAAAAAGAAACACGTACTCCTAAACCCATTCTTTATAGTAAAAACTATAACAGGCAACATATTACAATCATACCTCGATATAATGAAGTTACCGATCCAGCCGATCAGAACTTCATTATAAGAATCTTCATTATAACATTAACGAATTATTCGTTATAGTAGATGATTACTGATTTCATTACACAAATATAATTTTACTATGATATAATTTTT